TTGTGACCCATTTATACTTACGTGTAATAAAATCAAAGAAAAACTCTGTTCACGAAGTTCATTTATTTAGCATTGACAATTTCTATGTATATTTCTTATGATCTGCAAATATTGGAATTGCATGTATCTATTTGTATTATCTATTTGTATGAATATAATATTATTACTTTTTGAAAAACAAATTTAAAAGAAATTCCATCACACACAGTTTGGTGAACAAGATACATAAACTCAATGAGACAAGACTATATATATAATTATATTTAAAAAAATTGTAGATAATACTAACAGGGCAGAATTCATTTGGACAATTGTTAATCTTTGTGTCATTGACATCGCTATTATTTTAACTACCTTCACTCTTCAGCAATGTTTATTGTTTTAAAAGCAATTACTAGAATTGTAATAAAACCTAAACATATGAAAGTGAATTTATACATTTTCTTTATTCTTGAGAATTGACAACAAAAATAATAAACATGATTTATTCATTAGATTTATTTAATCCCTGAAGATTACCCAAATCATTAAACACCTGTGTTGTGGAGTGATTTCACAGTGGAGGCTTGTATTTGTACTAAGTCGGTCCTAAAATAGGTTCGACGTACAAAACGTTAGGAACTTGATATAATAGGTAATGACGCAGAGAAATCTAGTGGTGGTCGCTGATACTTTAGTATCCGATTAACTGTCGACTGACTGACCGACTCACTGACCGACTCCTACTTCTACTTATTATTGGTGGAAGAGTCTATTAACTATAGAATAGGTGTGTTCTGCTATAACAACTTGATACAGGTCGAACGTTAAGAAAATAATAAAAATGATGAAGACAATAGTTCAAGTGTAAATAATGATAACACCTCAACCTAGAAATAGAAGGCAATCAGGTGATAATAACAAAAAAGATGAGGATATCAACCCGAATGTAAATAATGCTAATTCCTCACCCTAGAAATTTAGACAGAAGGTGATCAGGTGATAATAACAACAAAGATGAGGATATTAGACCGAATGTAAATAATGATAATTCCTCACCCCAGGAATTCAGACAGAAATGTTTTCTTTCTCACCAACAAATTGTAATACTTGAAAGTTCGAAGGAATTAACTTTTAATTGGTCTAATATTAAGGATGTGGGGACAAAAAAGAAAATAAAAATTGTTAATCAATTATCAAAACTAGCTGATAACTCAATCAACAGTTGGGATTTTAACCTAGTTCCTGAAGAAGACTTAAATGGCCCCCAAGTGGCCATTACTTTCACTACAAATTTAAACGTAACACAATTTTTTAATCATGTTGTGAACAGCTCCCAGTGGCTGGGCTCTGAATTCAGAGTTTTCCTTCTCGTAGACTGGTTGCCAACAACGACCAGAGAGTCCATTTCCTTCCTATTTCATCCAGGAGGAGGAGGAAAATTAAACTGAAATTATTCCAGTTGGTGTTGCGATTGTTTCATAAGTTTTGCTTATTAAACCATCCACTTTTATCCACTGATTAGCTTAAACTAATGTTTACATTTTTATTATTACAGCAACAACGTTTCGGCCGATATGCTCTCTGGCCCTCTTCAAGGTAACTAATGTAATTGGTAACCTTGCATATTTCTCATTCAATCTTGACCACTCAATCTGACAACTCGATCTTTACTAGATATCTCACTACTGTGACCAATGGAGCTTTGATTGATTGGTTAGGACACCCATGTAGTCAAGTGAACTGTAAGTGATTTTATCTAGATTTTGGGAAACTGTCAGTTTTATGATTACTAACTGCATCGCCAGTAAAATCAATATATGAGAGTTTCAAAGCAAGAACCCACTGTCTAGAATTAGAGAAAAAAAAGAGATAAAAGCTTTCGGAATCAAGTGCCACCCGGGCGGAAGATAGGGAATTCCGGTCATGGGATTATTAGGCAGGCCACATTCTACATAGAGCAGTCGGAGATAGAGTAAAAAGAAATGTAGAAGGGAAGATCTGGTCCGTTAGTCTACCACAACGTTTCTCAACCTTTTTAGCCTTGTGGAACCCTTGAAATAGTTTTCATACCTCAGGGGACTCCTGCATAAAAGTTATTATACACCATTATTAGTATCTATCTCTTTCATATTTTTATCGTAGTTCACACAGTGAACGTAATATACTGACATAATGCATGCGTCCGGTACTCGATTGAGTCACTCAGTGATACGCGAATGCACCAAGTACAGATCCTGTCCACTAACCAGTAAAGGTTGTTTCACACTGACACCATATAGACATCGCTAAGTACATTCCCTATGATTATTATAATTTTAGATAATATAGCCTTTATTATAATAACCAGGGATTTTTCCAACAATATCCCATATGTCTATAGTAAAATTACGAATATAAAATTAAAGAAAAAATTACTTAAAAATGCATTAGCTTATTTATCACTTTCTTGTGGAATCCCTAGCGACCTCTTGGGGAACCCTAAGGTCCGAAGACACACAGATTGAGAAACACTGGTCTACAACAAGAGAAGACAGTAGTAGCAACAAAGATTCCAAAGTCTTACCTACCACCAGATAGTGCCAGGTGAACCCATTAATGAATAAAGTACCCTGTTTATCAGAGCTAACAGACCTTCTCTTTCTCACTAAGGTATTATTATCTCGAGACACCCCGTGCGATATCTCACCTTCAGTTTCTTTGTTAAAAGTACACAAGGCTTTTCCCAGTTTTGTTTACATCAACACAAACGGAAATCGATCTTATGGAATCCTCCATACTTGCCTGTCCCCCTCTACGGGAAGATGCACTCTTCCCCGAACTAATCTTTGACCAATCATCACTTCACTTTTCCAAACTCAACTTCCCATTGGTTAAAAGGACACAAAAATGTAGCAAGTTGAGACAAATCCTTTTTTCCCGCGCAGTTGTCTGGAGCCTATTTTGAAAACCCAAAAATCTATTTAAAAAAAAAAAAAGAATCGCTCGACTTGATTCAAGTCAGTCAGACACTGAGTTTTGAAAGATGCCAGCAGACTCCACGCATGCCAACGCACTGACTCAATAACATTATCAGCCTCTCATCAACTCAACACAACTCGCACTACTATTGCCGCGTAAAGAAACTTAATTTACAATTTACTAAAAAAGTGACATTATCACTACGAAATAGTAATTGTACATTTAATCAACCTTAGCATATCAGTCAAAGGCACACAACTCTTCATAACTTGAATCAACATTTACAATTGTCACACACATGCACACTATTATTTGAACTCACACAATTGCAGAAATCAAACTGTTTTAATTTCACAAACAAACTTAAGCCATCAACATTCATTCACCAAATCTCTGCATGAACACTCTTTGCAATCTTATCTCACTTGCTACGTTTAGCAAGTAACCTATCATCATTTTGTGTATGTCAAATATATATATATATAAATTCGTGTTATTGTTGAAATCTATAACTACGTTGTTTTTTCCTTGATTTCTTCAAGTTGTATTGTCTTCATATGTTCGTTTAATTTATTTGTTGTGGATAAATGCATAATGTACACGCACATTTTAGGCCTTCACACAATTTCACCTTCTGACACATCTTACTTAGCATAAATTCTGCAACAATCTACGTCGTAAGGCAGAAATTGGCCAGTCGGTGAAAAACTGTCCGAGGGACATAGGTGTAGGTTTACACTTGTGTCAGACAAAGCTAAGTTTGCTAAATACCTAAATACCAGCTTTCTTACCAACAGTATGAGACGATTGAAAACTTAGAAAAGTAATTCATTTATGACGATACTTGATATGTATCTATCAATTCGTTAAAGTGTTCTACTTACCACAAACTGATGTTCGGTGTGCGGTTTCCATCGGCTTCAGTGGTTTCCTTGTGACTAAACTTTAGTGAATCCATGTCGTCTCGAATGAGGCCCAGGAAAAAAGGTTTTGAAACATCTTCATTTTTCGAATCTTGACCAAACGTTGGAGAGAGGATTGATAAATTCAGTTTTCGAAGCAGTAATCCTGAAACGACGTGAAAAAAGCATTCAAACATCGGTTGCTTCAAAGTTTTTTTTAATAAATCAACTGAAATATCCCAAAGAATGCAGAAAAAAAAATCCCTGAAAATTGGTTCAACTTTAGCTCAAATCTGTAGTTACCACATGAACGAGATAAACTATGACCTTTTACAACAAGTGAGAGCTTTATCTGATATTTTAAGATGAGTTAATATTAAGCAGTTCCTTCATTTTTTTCTCCTTCCAACAATTCGTCTGATCCATTCTCTGACCATCTTCGGGTGAATTTTGTTCTACAAAATCTTTTCGTTGATCTCGTTTTGTTGATAATTCGCACCGCAGCCTAAATTGACGGTCACGACTAAACTCAACCTAGTCAGACAATTGACAACCGCTCCTTAATGCGAAATGTTTAGACAACTGACAACCACCCCTAAACGCAAACTGGTTAGACAATTGACGACCACCCCTAAACGTAAACTAGTCAGACTACTGATAACCACCTCCTCTTCAACCTACTTAGACAATTGACGACCACCCGTAAACGGAAACTGGTTTGACTATTGACGACCACCCCTAAACGCAACCTAGTTAGTTTATTAATGACCACCCCTAACGCAACCTAGTTAGTTTATTAATGACCACTCCTAAACGCAACCTGTTTGGACAATTGACGACCACCCGTAAACTGAAATTGGTTGGAATGTTGACGACCACTTCTGAACGTAAACAGGTTAGACTATTGACAACCACCCCTAAATGTACCCTGAGAAGGATATGAACGAAGAAAAAGAAAACATCTTTTCGAAAGTTGGCAAATGTATAATGTTTGCACCTCACCAAATGAAAGAAAATATAAAAATCGGATGAAAATGGACACTTTCTTCATAGAATAAAATAAAAATTTCATTCAACAAATCTGACGATACGAATGGAATTTTGGGGCTTCTTTACTGTCGTTACATTATCTACCTTTGGCTTAGACAAATATTGACATCACAAAGTACAAGTTGAGAAGGGATTCATATCGTATTGCAGGGTTATATTCATTTCGCACTCGGAAACAAATTCACTGTTAATGGCTAATGGGAAGAATTATAGCACTAAAAAAAAAGTTCTTCGCGCTTTGCTGTACGATGGAATTTACAAATACCTAGGAGAAGGAAACACCAACATATGACGTTGGGATCTCATTCAACTTGCCGACAAATGATTCCGGAAAAATAGTAAACCTGATAGTTTTATTTATTTCTCCAGAAGCAAATATAATATTCTAATCTTGAAGATCTATCTCCCAAGTAGTACTTTCACGTTGTTTTTTTTTTTTATTGATAACGTTCACTCTGTTCAGGGCCCAAGAGCCACTCAAGGTAGAGGGTTACAATGTAAAAAGCATGGTTTATGAGGATACGTGGATAAGATAACAATTAACCTTAGACTTGAACAGGCTAAAATTATAGTGATCAGGGAAGCATCATCTTGGGAGTCGGTTCCAAAAAGTAATGGTTCGTAAGAAGAAGACCCAACCCAACCCAAATTGAATGAAAATAATTTGCACTAGAAAGAAAGAAAGAAAGAAAGAAAATAAATAAATAAATCTGGGAATAAGAAAGAAAAAGTAAGAATTTTCACCAATTCTCACCAATGGAATGTAAAGGGAATGAGGGTGGTTCGCTACTATGTGCGTGGCATGGCGGCTCTTATCAGTGAATGTTAGTACTGGTGGAACTGAGCAATATACTTCGTCGGAACGCTTTCCATAGAAATAGCGATAGAGTAACGAGAGGTTTGCCACTTTTCGTCTGTGGGAAAGGGGCTGTAGGATAGAAATTAATTCATCGCCTACAAGGACGTGGAAATGGTTTCGGATTCTATCGTAACTGGAAAGTGAAGACTGAGCAACAGTACTCTATTGTCGACCTGATCTAGCCTCTGTAAAGATAGAGGATAGCAAAGGGTGGGGAGTAGTTAAGAACGTCCTGGAGCGGTACAGAGACCCAACCATTTTTTCAGCACCTTTAGTGATTGTTGTAATGCAAGGAATACTAACGGAGCTAGAGAATTTTCGCACCCACTCACCCACAAATGTGAGTGGGTTTCCGCAATAAAAAAAAGACCTTCTGTTGTATCTTATTTCATTGAGAAAAATGTATAAAAAAAACATTATGAGCAAAGATTTAGGTTTGGATTTGCAAACTACAAGAACAAAAGTGCAATTTTAATCTTTAAAAAAAAAGAGAAAGAAAGCTTAGCGCTTTATTTAGCATTATTTATGTAGATGTTTTTTTTTTAATATTCAGGCAAGTAAAATTGTTTCCTGTGTTGCAGTTTTGTCTCCATTTCTCGAACGGTCTATGGAGTCCAAGTCATTGTAGCAATTGTAAATTTTTACAATGCCGCCTACCTAGCGCGACCCCCAAATGCGTCTAAAGAACACCAAAAGTCCTGACAGGGAAAGTCGATCTATGCCTTTATTAAGAATTATTATATTATCGCATTAATTCGAAGTGAATGTAAGCTTTTCCAGCTCAAGGTTGAACCCAGTTTGCCGATTTCATTTTAGATGCTGTGAGTTATTAAGCCACTTTCAACTCCACCTTGCATTTTAAAATGACCATATGACGATAATCTACATCCGACAACAAGACCTCTGATCAGGAAATTGGAAATTTTGAGGAATGTGGAACTACCGCTTAATTGCTCTTGTTCCCAGGTCCACCCTGACCTGGGGTGGTAGCACCTGTTAGGGTCTCAGCTATGGGCGAGTAGTGAAGTCCCAAACAAAAATAAAACACTATGAAAGTATAAAAAATACATTTTTATAGCAAAAATACTAGCAATTCGTTTACATATTCATAGTAAAATTACAAAAAATCATTTTATCTGTAGCTGAAGCCATAAAATTGTTCAAAATATTTAGATTTCGGTATTAAATAACTCATAGAGGTTGATATGTTGCTAAACAAAATCAACCGAAGAACCAACATGAAAGGACTTTTTCATGACATTAATCCATATAATATCCTACATTTTCTTAAAGAAATCGAACTGCATTCCAAAATATAACTTCAACAAAACTACAGCATAAAACATATCACTGCCTCTAGTAATTATGTCCACACAAACGTGTATATGCACAAAAGCTGAGTATTATCTACCATGTATTCAATAGTGAAAGCAGAATAAAATAGTTTTTATTACTTCAAAGCCCCCAAGAAAATTAAATTTCGGCATTAAATGACCCACAAGTTGTTGATATATCGTTAAACAAATCAAATTAAAATGACCCTTTATATAATTCTGACCAGATTAAATGACCCGCAAGTTGTTGATATATCGTTAAACAAATCAAATTAAAATGACCCTTTATATAATTCTGACCAGATTAAATGACCCACAAGTTGTTGATATATCGTTAAACAAATCAAATTAAAATGACTCTTTATATAATTCTGACCAGATTAAATGACCCACAAGTTGTTGATATATCGTTAAACAAATCAAATTAAAATGACCCTTTATATAATTCTGACCAGATTAAATGACCCACAAGTTGTTGATATATCGTTAAACAAATCAAATTAAAATGACCCTTTATATAATACTGAACAGATTAAATGACCCACAAGTTGTTGATATATCGTTAAACAAATCAAATTAAAATGACCCTTTATATAATACTGACCAGATTAAATGACCCACAAGTTGTTGATATATCGTTAAACAAATCAAATTAAAATGACCCTTTATATAATTCTGACCAGATTAAATGACCCACAAGTTGTTGATATATCGTTAAACAAATCAAATTAAAATGACCCTTTATATAATCCTGACCAGATTAAATGACCCACAAGTTGTTGATATATCGTTAAACAAATCAAATTAAAATGACCCTTTATATAATTCTGACCAGATTAAATGACCCACAAGTTGTTGATATATCGTTAAACAAATCAAATTAAAATGACCCTTTATATAATACTGACCAGATTAAATGACCCACAAGTTGTTGATATATCGTTAAACAAATCAAATTAAAATGACCCTTTATATAATTCTGACCAGATTAAATGACCCACAGGTTGTTGATATATCGTTAAACAAATCAAATTAAAAATGACCCTTTATATAATACTGACCAGATTAAATGACCCACAAGTTGTTGATATATCGTTAAACAAATCAAATTAAAATGACCCTTTATATAATTCTGACCAGATTAAATGACCCACAGGTTGTTGATATATCGTTAAACAAATCAAATTAAAATGACCCTTTATATAATTCTGACCAGATATGTGAACATACAATAGAGCATTCCCTCCGTTTTTCATCAACTGGACAATGACTCACCAACGTTGCGTCTATATTCTTATCCGTGTCCGTCCTACACTCACAAAGGAACGAAAGCAGAAAATAATAGTCACGGCGGGAAATAAAGACTCGATCTCTGTTTTCAATACAATTCATTGTTTATTCGGAGCTTCCTTCGCACGATCTGGTTGGGTGACACTTGGTAACAACTTCTGCCACTTCTGACATCGACTAACAGATCAGCTTTTCCTTTCAACTCTTTCTCCTATCAAGTCTCTGCTCATCTCAATATCACGATGTGCGACTGGTGTCTTTAACGGGCGGTATCGGAACTACCAAAAGTTTCAGTGTCTCTCCTTTAACGAGCAGTCCAAAACTCTCTCAGTCCCGACTGTGCTTGTTAATATAAACCTACAACCGGGAGTCCTCAACGTCCGGTTTGTTTTTACTTATTCCCCAAAGTTTTCATATATGTCTCTATTATTTTATTCCTTTTTTAGTTCAGTGGGTGACTGCTTTCCTGACTTTATCGCTGGTCACAAAAAATAAAATCATACACTATCACCTTCTATGTGACTAGCTAACATAATCACAGGATGGTCAAAGCTAGTATCTTCTTTTCCTAATATCGTTCTTGTGCGGAACATAACTAACGCTTTAGGTAGCTTGAAGATACATTCACTAATGAGAATATTCATGAAAGGGAGAAAAAAATGAGTTAAAGAAAAAGACAAAAAATAATAAAATTGGGTTTAAATGTATAAGTTTGAATTTTAAGAGGCTTAAAGGTAAAAGGTATGAATTTTTATGGGTGATTTAAAACAGTCGTTCCCAAGCTGTTTTTTAGCTCATAGCTAAATCGAACAATGAAATTATTATAGTGTAAAAATTACTTCCATTCTACATAGAATATGTCCAATTATAAAATTTATGTGGCCCACCTGAAATTTGAATTTTGAAATACCCCATTTTGGCCATAGGTTGGGAAACTCTGTATTAAAATATAGTGTGAAGGTATTATTCAGAGAAACTCAAACCCGATCGAGTTTGGTAAAATCAGAAATTGTATACAGGCGAATTTATTCGGGGACAAATTATGGACAAGATTTATTGGCCTGGAGAAAATGAAATGTGCCAAGTTTGGAAAGTTCACGAGACGAAACGACTTTATGACGATCCAATTATGACAACGTTTGAAAGTCTACTCGTCAACGCCCTTGTGAGGCCGCCTCTTAGCTTTATTGGTTATATCTAGTGTTTTACTGAACACAGTGTAGTATCGGTTGTATTATATTTTGTATTTTAATACAATTAAATAAAACGAAGATGCTGCATAATTTTAAGGATTGAAACATGAAACAGTAAATCTTCATTTTACCTTTTGTAGTCTTGAGCTCCGTTTCTGTCACGTCTCTGTTCCATGCTTTCTCTTTGTCGAAAAGTAAATTGGTTACCCATGTTCTTGAAGCCGCGACCTTAGAGAACAATTCAAAAGGTGTCGGTGATTGGCTCCTCTCCTCAACCACTAAGTCAGGATGAATCGAAGGACAACGGTTGACCGACAGGTCACTGTTCTTCTCTTTCCCAGTATTTTCTTTTTTCTTCACAAGCCAGTTTTTCCGACACGCTGAATCTTTGTTGACGATTGGTGATATGTTTGATCGTTTCTCAGTAGCTTTCGTGGCATTTGAGGCCTCCTCAATCGAAACGTTATCCGTAACAATTGCAGCTATGTCTTTTCTTAGAAGCAAAGGCGATATCGTAT